ATATGGTTCTCCTCCTCTCCTGGGAACTAGTGCCTCTGTCCAAGACTTGACTCCTCGCTTTAGCACTTCAACCGCGAGCTTCCCCAGGAGCCCAAGAAAGTCACATGGCCCCCACGAAAACCCTCGGTCCCTAAACTTTTGTCTCGAGGGTTTAGGGTTTGGGGGTTTAGGGTTTAGGGGTTTAGGGGTTTAGGGGTTTAGGGTTTACGTAGGGGTTTAGGGAATCCCGTGGAGCCGGAGGAAGAGAATGGCTTCGCGCTGTTGGCCAAGGAACAGCAGCGTCTGCTGGGCTTGGCAGTTGCGCCCCGGCGGCCTTCGAGGAAATATACGGTTCAGGGCCTCGGGGGCGGGGGCTTTTAAAATTTAAGAAGGTTGAAAGTTGCCGATTTTGCTTCGACGTCCGTTGACGGGTTTAGGGTGCAGGATGGTGCAGCTGTTTTGACCCACATCGTACTCACGCATTCCTCCGAAGTGCAAACGCTGAAAGCCTCTAAGTTATAATCGTCTGAATGCCTCCCTGCCATCATCTACATGTCGTAAGACCCAGGTTCTGAGCTCTAATACCTTGAACCCAAAATCCGTAAGCCCTACACCCACCACTTTGGGTCAGACACTCCCAAGCCTAGTGGCCTACGAGCCCAGCCGGCAAGGCGCAGCACGCAGTGTTGGAGGAAGCTATCCAGGAGTGTCTCAGGGATCAGGTTCTGACGGATGGATGGTGAGGGTTGAGGGGTGACCATAAACCCTAAACCCTAAACCCACTGCGGATAGAATCGGCCTATCGGGCTTCGGATTTTCTAACTGGTTGTTTGTCTTGGTGTTTCGGTGAGAACCAGGGCTCTCCACTCGACCCCCCGGAAACCTCCCAACGCGTAAGTGCCTGAACCCTAACCCTAAACCCCTAAATGCCATCTGTCCAAGGGGTGTCGATAACAAAACCCCTAAATTCCCACCCGGCCTGCTTGGGCGGTTCCCACCCATTTCTGGGCTGTCAGACACTGAAGAAACACGTCAGCCTTTACACCCGTACTGGCTCAGACAATGGGAGGAGCCTATGGAGAGTGGACGTATAGAGCCGTTCCGGGTCTTCCCACACATCGCAAGGCACGGCTCTGCCTCCAGCCAACCCTGTGGAGTCTCTCATCCACAGAGGTTTCCCCTTTTTTGCCTGGCCCCCCCTGCCCCCCCCTCACCCTCGTTGAGCGCCCTCTCTGCCTGACCCGCCTTGGCCGCGCTGACCCTGGCCCCTGTGCCCCGGCCTGCCTGCCCTTCCTGCCTGCCGGTTGGCCTGTGCTTGGCCTTTTCCTGCCCTTGCCCTGCCCCACCCCAAGACAAACTCGCCAGACCCTTCGATGCCCCTCCAAGAGGCGCTGCATCTTGAGGTGGGAATTGACGGCGCAGCCCTAAACCCTAACGGCCCTAACAGGAAATAATTTGGGTGGTAGCCCGTGATTCTCACAGCGGGTGGAGAAAAATTGAAGAAAACCCAGTTGCGATGGACGACATCATGCGCGGGTCGCAGGATGCGCCGCCACCCACAGATACCTGGAAGTGGGGTGGCCATCGGTGCATGCATACTCAGCCCTGCGCGAGAAGACACCCGTAACCCTAAACCCCTAAACCCCTTTTAGGGTTCAGGGTTCAGGGTTTAGGGTAGGGTTCCTGGTTGGTCCCCGGGTGGTTTGTAGACCAGGGAAGCCGTAGCACGATAATATAAAGATGATGAAGTACGAAAGACGAAAGACAGCGGCCGTTCGAAAGCTGGAGCCCTGCAAAGGAATGGATTCCGGCTTGAGTTCCAGTTCGGTTCTGGTTCGGTTCTGAATTGGTTGCGGTCCGTTTCAGAAGACTCCACCGACAGCACATATTGAGTAGGTTTGGCTCCGAACTTTTAGACAGCATTCGAAGAGGTTTCGGGCTTTGCTTGCGAACTTGTTCTGAAAAGCGATGTCTTTTGGTTTTCACTAAACAGCAGTTAGTCATTTAAATTCAGAGAAGCTTCAACCAATAGATATTCGACTTCGCAAGTATCATACAAAATACTCGCGCACACAGATGCTCGCCCATTCTCTTCTCTTTTTTCAAGTGGTTTGCAAGAGTCGGGGGTTTTATCACAACCGAGACCCGCAAACCAACTGTTGAAGATCATCTATCACTCACGTTTGATGGTTTGAGGGGCTCTGCTCCTGCAGGCCAACTGCCATGCGCTGCTCCTTGCCGCCCCGCGTGAGTTGCAGGGGAACCCGGCTGTAGCGCAGGAGCACGTGCTGGCGAACGTAGAGGTAGAAGAGGAAGCAGGGAATCAGGATGCCGTAGCATATCGCGCAAGGCCAGAAAACTGAGGATACCTCAGCACTACAGAAAAGATGTTGCAGGCACAAACCATGGGCCGCTTCATTTCAACTACCCCCAATGGAAGAGCAACTGAAGTCATCAGAAAAAAACCCAGACTCTGCAGACAGAGGGCGCACAGTGCTGGGGCACCCTCCCATCATGCTAGCAACTGCATGGGAGAAGTTGCTTGATCTCAGGATGGGACGGGCTACTTGACTGCCATGTGCCAGTGTGAGCAGTCTGGGCTGAGCTCCATCCTAAACTAAACAAAACCCTGAACGTTACACACTAAACCGTCCACCCTAAACCCTCAGCTTTATTCCCTGGGGTTGTGTACGTCTGGCTGACCTTCTTCCAGGGCGCCGGCAAGCTTTTGCTCCAGCGAGGAGGCGGTCCAGGACACATCTTGGTCACGAAGATCCGGCAACGGTCTGGGAAAGAAATGGAAGATGCTCCCAAGCAAGAACTCATGCCGATCAATGCAGCAATCAAGCTTGGGAAACCCTCTGCTTGACTTCTAAACATCTGCGGAAGGACCCATTGCGCAGCACCCTATTCTGGTCTCAGTGGAGCGGAGTTTCGGGTTTAGACCGCATCAACATGCCCCCCCCTCATGGTGGTGGTAGAGGGTTCTGCAGGTCACCGTGACTGGTTTCGGGCGGGCTGGCACGCTCCACACACGCCCCACCCACACCCACACCCACACAGAGACAGAGACAGAGACACAGACACAAACACAGACAGAGACACAGACACAGACAGAGACAGAGACACAGACACAGAGAGACACACACACACACAGACACAGA